TCAATTACTATGAATAAAATATTTTTCTTCCATCTCTCTTTGTTTTATTGGCGTGTTAAAAAATTCCCGTTTTCTTGGGTCAGCCTGTGTATGTGTACTTTTTTTTTCATTTTCTCTAAAACTTTGTTGTTCACATGTTCAGTCCATGGTATTCTCAGCATCCTTCTGTAGAACCATATTTCAAGTCCATGCTTCAAGTCTATTCTTTTTCTGTAGGGAGATTTGTGGGAATTGTATATTGATAAAGGAACAAAAAAAATAAAATAAAAATACAAAAAAATAAAAAGAAGAATCTTCCAGGATGCCCCTGGCAGGAAGAACAAATGGCACATGCGTGAGAAAAGAGGGTCTTCCTGGCGCCAAAGACAAAATGCGAAGAATCGTTCTCTTTTTCCTTAGAACTTTGAACGAGTAAACACGTGTCTTTTGCTCGATTACTGTAATAAAGTTCCTGAATTCAATTCCAGAGTCTCTGCTTCCTTCTTCTATTTGTACTTTTTATTATGGTCCGGTTCCTTGTACCACGGTGATAGTCCAAGGTAGAACCAATAAAGAAGAACTCGAACACGGGTATGGAATAACACAGATATATTACAAACAGGAATATATACAGAGAAGTAGAAAGGGTTAGTACGAACAATCAGGTTTAGTAGTACTTGTCTGAAAGCGACTCTGTTTCGGACTGCCTCTGACTCGACTGACTGACTCGCTCGCTCTGACTGACTGATAGACTCCTGACTGACCTCACTCCAGACTGAACAGAATTTAGTCACCCCCAACGAGGGCATCATGTGGCACAAGGCCAGTTTAACGTGGGCTCGGCCAAAAATATGTCCTTCGAACCCGTATAAATGGGTTCAGGGTCGGTTTACCTCCCAGAAGGAAACTCCATCCTTCGGCGTAGCCTCGTCCGGGTTCCTCCCCGCACGAAGGCAGAGAGTTCAACCGGTCAGCCTTCAGCCAGTCATCCGACTTCGGACTGAACAGTAATTAGTCAAAAGACTTCGGACTGAACTCCCTGCTTCCACTTGAGGCGCAGTATTTATTACGTATGGAATAGTCCATTATTTTATTATGGGGAAGGTCCCATAACACCTTTTATCTCAGGAACAACAAGAATTCAACGTCGCTTTAGAGCTTGAACAGTATAACCCAAGAATTATAATCTCTAGTGTTCCCCTTTAAAACTCCAAAGATTGTCCAGTATTCATTCCATATATAAGAAACGATATTACGTAACATTTCAGTAATATTTTCATTGTTTCTAACAAAATTTTCCTGTTTTTTAATACATTGTTTAACTTTTGGAAGGCATCTTTTGCTATCTCAATATGCCATCGGGTTTTAGTGTCGAGCTTTCCGTCTTCTGTGAGAAAACGTTCTAGATATTTTAATTATACTTCTTTGATATTGGTATGTGAAATTTGGACGTTGGTATCTGCAATTTGTAATTTGCATATTGGTTTTCATAACAACCATCACTTTATCTGTTAGCAATTGATAGTCCTTTCTTCTCGCTTTCTTTCAATATCTTCTGTAGGAATTCTTGTAGTTTACTTTCTGTGTCTGCTATTAACACGGCGTTATCTGAATATGTTGATAAGATAGTGGCCAGTATATAATGAATACTGGCAGGACTTCTAATTCTATCAGAATGGCCTCACTGTATAGGTTGAATAGGTCCGGTGAGAAGACTCATCCTTGTCTTATATTGTTAGGAATAAATACATCGAGTCAATTGCCTCGTCTACTGCAAGGAAAGTTGGCTCCATGAGCCGCGCCAGGAAGTTTTTCTTCCCGGAGTCAATCCTCCAGATCTACAAATCCACAATTCGCCCTTGCATGGAGTATTGCTGCCATATATGGTCTGGTGCTCCTTCTGTTTGCCTCGGGGTTCTTGATAGACCCCAGAGGCCGATAAGCAATGTGGTTGGCCCTGCTCTGGCGTCTCGCCTACAGTCACTTTCTCACAGAGGCGCCGTCGCCTCCCTCTGTCTGTTCTACAAATACTTTCATGGAAATTGCTCCGAGGAGCTGCATTCGCTGGTTCCCAGACGTCATGAGTTCCAGCGCCCTATGAGGCTGGCATCCCGCTCTCACCCCTTCACTGTCGAAACTCCTAAATGTAGCCGTCTCTTCTACTCTAATAGCTTCATGTCTCGCACCTCTCGCCTGTGGAACTCCCTTCCCTATTCCTGTTTCCCTGAGAGCTATAATCTCCAGCTATTCAAGTGTAATGTCAATCGACATCTCCAGTTGCCTTGATCTATCCACTACCCTCATCCTTTCTTCTATCACTCCTATCTGATCTTGCTCTAAATTTTCTGTAACCCCTTGCTTCCCGCCTTGCTTGGGGTGAAATGCTTAGAAAATGCAAAGAAATATATGGACGATTAGATTGCTAAACATTGTATGGTCGCAATTATGGAGCCTATGGGAAATACGAAGTCAGGGTAAGAAGAAGGATCTTCAATGTATATTGCTCAACCTTTACTCCACGGTAGAATCCTTAATCTAGTCTGAAATTTACTTTAGTCTGGATCACTTCCGACCTCTTTAATCCGGTATATTCTTATCTGGAAACTCCCATCATCCGGTACTCCGACTCATTGTCTCTAGGGGAGAAACTGGCTGGCCAGAGCCAATATCTAAAAAAAGAAAAAAATAATAATGATATTCCATTATCACCGAGTGGACCCTGAATTTTCGCCACTGCTTTGTGGAACTGGCTCCCAAAAGGATGCTTCCCGAATCACTCAAATATAAACCGAGAGTTAACCGCCATATGATATATCGATAAAGATGTTAGAAAAAATGGTCATTTACCTGTAATTTGCATTTTGGGCTCATGCCTTTGGCTAACAACCATGCACTCTGTCTTCTTGCAATTGATGACTAGTTCTCTCTTCTCACCAATAATAAATCCTGGTAGGACGCCTAGTTCTCTCAGAATTATCTCACTGTATAGATTCTATTGGCCAGCGTGAGAGCCAACAGTTGACTGACACGAATGTTAACTAGCATGCTAGCAAGCAAAAAAAAAAATCGATAGCTGCATTCGTCACAAGTGGGGAAAAATTTAAATCTGCATGGCACTTTACTCCAATTGGCTCATTCGCTTGCATAAACTCAAGGTTGATTCTGATTTCGCAGAACTGGGTTGAGTGTGAAAAAGTATTTGTTGTTAACATTCTTTTTTCATTCTGTTTTTCCAGTTACGAGTCCTTTTTTTAAAGCTGATCGTTTTGCGTTCATTTTTTTAATTTCTTTTTTCGTAACAGATTTAATGTTTAGTATGGAGCTTAGAAAAAATTCGCTGTGTGAGATAGGCAAGAAGTAAGGCATGTAGCAACATCAGCACTGCAAAGGGCACTCCTTTAAAGGCAAGGAAGGGCAAAAAATATTTTAAGTCATGTAATAGCGATTGCTATATGAGTCGTACGATTTTTGAATCAAGCACGGGCAACGCCGGGCCATGCTGCTAGTCAAATATAAGAAAAATATTTGACAATGTCGTACAAGAAAAGACATCAAACATAAGACTGTTTTCCCTCAGATCTTCATTGAATTTGACAACGCAACCGAAGTCTGGGCAAACAGTTTATCCGCTGTAGATGTCTTTTGTCTAGCATTATATTTTTAGGTATCTTGAATTCTGTCAGAGATTCTTCACGGGATTTTGTAGCAAAGAACAGACAGTTTCGTCACGCTAAAATAAGCAGCATCGACGAAGATTACGTGGAATGCACTGCTTTACCTTTGGTCATATTTTTCAAATGTACGAATGAATCACGTGACAAAAAAAAGCACCAATCAAAAACACCATCCGAATTCTTTAAAATGCCGATGGCAAAGCCAGCTACAAATGTGACCGATATGTTTGGTATTTATTCGCTCTTTAGAAAGATTGCCTTCCGTAGGAATCGACTGTTCGTTCATTTTTGATTTCCTCTTTTTCTGGTCTTCTTTGTCGACAGAGAATTCGTTATTTATATGTAGTTACAAGGCAAAACAATCGATTTTAATGGAGAGGGATGCAAATAGCTGCGGGAAATTGAGACAGAAAGGTGCATGTAGGAAGACTATAAAAGAAAAATGGTAAGCGTAGAAAGACAGAACTTTTAAAAGGTAAGAAAAATATATGACAGTGAGAGAAATACAAGAAGCAGATGAGAGCGTAAAAGAAGGATTAGAATGGCAGCTAAAAATACGGATTGTTAATTCAGAAAAAGATAAATGAAGGAAAACATTAAAGAGATGGAAATACAGGGTGTCCATAAAGTTCGTGTGCACTTTAAAAAAATTGATAACTTTATTTGTATTTGCGATAGAAATAATCTGTAAAAAATGTTATAAAGTTTAATGTACCTAGTTTTAAGTATAGCTAAAATAACTAATGTGATTTCAGGCATTACTGTAAATCAGTTGGCAAATGTTTTCCGTGAACTGCAAAATCATATTACCCTTAGTATTGCTAATGATGGCGGACATGTGGAAACTTAAATAAAATTTCAATAAAACCTTAAAAATATAGATTTACTTCTTTCTAATCCTTTCTACAAATTATTTCTTAAATCCTCCTTCGAATTATCCATATGGATTACCAAATAACTTCAATAACTATATATATATATATATATATATATATATACACAGGTTGCCCATAAAGTTCGTGTGAACTTTAAAAAAAATATAATTTTATTTGTATTATTGATTGAAATAATTTGTAAAAAGGATTAAAAAAGGATTATATTTTTTAAGGTTTTATTGAAATTTAATTTTAGTTTCCACATGTTCTCCATCATTAGCAATACAAAGGTTAATACGATTTTGCAGTTCACGGAAAATATTTGCCAACAGATTTAGAGTATTGCCTGAAATCACATTAGTTATTTTGGCTATACTTAAAACTAGGTACATTAAACTTTATAACATTTTTTTACAGATTATTTCTATTGCAAATACAAATAAAGTTATAAATTTTTAATGTGCACACGAACTTTATGGACACCATGTATAACAGGAAAAAAAGTAGTAGTCGGAGAAGAGGAGGAAGAAAAACGATGGAAAAAAAATGAAGGAAAGAAAAATATTTGAATAACGGAAAGGGAATACACTTAGAAGAATAAAAATGTATAAAAAAGAAAAGAAAAATAATTTAAAGCATAAAAAATGATACGAAAATAAAGAAGAAAAAGGATGAAAAGAAAGAAGAAAAAATAAGTATATTTCACTAACGAAGAGGAAATTCACGTAGAACAATTAAAAAAAAATATAAGACGAAAAGAAAGAAAGTAAGAAGTGAAAAGGAAGAAAATAAAAAAGAGGAAGAAAACGAAGGTAGAGGAAGAGAAGGCGAAATAGAAAGAGATGAGATAGAAAAGGATGTAGTAGTAAAAGTATAAAATGAAAGGAAGGCGGAGGAAACGATGTAGGAGGAGGAGTAAACATAGAAGCAAAAGAAAACCCGATGAAGTGAGAGGAGTGGGAATAGTAGAAGTAGAAAAAGTAAAGGGAGGAGGACAGAATGATGAAAACAGATAAAGATAAAGTAAAAGGGAACTACAAAGAAATAATACTAGTAGCGGTAGTAGTAGAAAAGAAAGAAAAGGAGGAGGCGAGTCGGCAAAGGTGGAGGCGGAGTAAACGTAGGAGAAAAAGAAGTAGTAGGAAACAACTAAGGGGGAGTAGTTATATTAGAAAAATAAAGGAGGAAGAGAAATAAGAATGAGTAGTAGTAGAAGTAGGGCGATATATAGGAGGGGAGAAATTTCAAGGTAGGAGTAGTAGTAGTAGTAGAATAAGAATAAGAAGCACTAATAGAAGAAAAAAAGAGTAAGAAAAGCAAAGGAGGAATAGTAACAGCAGAAAAAGAAGGGAAAGCGAAGGAAACTGTGAAGACGATAAGAGTGAAGTTGAAAATGAGAAAGAACAAGATGGAGGAGGAAGAAAAAAACAGAAAAAAATAAGAAAGGACGAAGAAAAGACAAAGTAAGAGAAAATGAAGGATAAAAAAGAAAAAGAGGAAGATGGAGACATATAAAAAGAACAAAGAATCAGAAATAAAATTACTGGTATTGCTCTTGATGTGGTGGCTCGGCTCCAGTCACTTACATAACGTGTCTCTGTGTCGTTATTTTTTTCATGGTAATTATTTAGTTCAGCAACTTGATATGGTACCTAGACTGTATGAATTTAAGTGCATTACTAAACTGGCATCGAAGATCTCATCATTTTAGAGTTGATCTGGCTAGATGTAGCCGTAACTTCTATGCTAACAGTTTGAACTCCCTTCCGGCTCCATGCTTTCCAGCCAACTTTAATCAACAAATATTTAAATGCAATGTCAATCGCTATCTACTGTCCTCCTGATTACTCTTTCCTCGTCCTGCTCATTACTATTATTAATGTTTCTGTTCCTAACACTTCCACACCCAGTAACCCCTTGTGTCTTAGTGGCTTTACTTCCTTTGTCGTAGAACTTCCGGCTCTGTGCTTTCCAGCCAACTTTAATCTACAAATATTTAAATGCAATGTCAATAGCTATCTACTGTCCTCCTGATTACTATTTCCTCTTCGCGCTCATTATTAATGTTTCTGTTCCTAATTCTTCCACACCCAGTAACCCCTTGTGTCTTAGTGGCTTTACTCCCTTGCTTGTGGAACTCCCTTCCGGCTCCATGCTTTCCAGCCAACTTTAATCTTCAAATATTTAAATGCAATGTCAATCGCTATCTACTGTCCTCCTGATTACTCTTTCCTCTTCCCACTCATTATTAATGTTTCTGTTCCTAATTCTTCCACACCCAGTAACCCCTTGTGTCTTAGTGGCTTTACTGCCTTGCTTGTGGAACTCCCTTCCGGCTCCATGCTTTCCACTCACCTTTAATCTTCAAATATTTAAATGCAATGTCAATCGTTATCTACTGTCCCCCTGATTACTATTTCCTCTTCCCGCCCATTATTAATGTTTCTGTTCCTAATTCTTCAACACCCAGTAACCCCTTGTGTCTTAGTGGCTTTACTACCTTGCTTGTGTAACTCCCTTCCAACTCCATGCTTTCCCGCCCAATATAAAGTTCTTCAAATATTTAAATGCGTTGTCAATCCCTGTCTTCCTGATAGTTCATTTCACTTCCCGCTCATTATTAATGTTTCTGTTCCTAATTCTTCCACAAACAGTAACCCCTTGCGTATTAGTGGCCATACTATCCTACTTGGGATGATGTTAAATAAAAAAAATAACAGAAATATTATTGGTCAGCCAAGAAGCAGACGATAAGTTGAACGTGGCAGACAGCTGTATAAAAATATTTAAACAAAAATGATATCGTGCAAAAATCATTAAAAAAAATCAAACTAAGCAATGAAAAGCCAACACTAAAACCTTGCTTTAAATTCTCACGTTAAATTCTTCCATTTTTAAATTTATATAAATTCGGGGAACAAACATGGCTGACTGAGGATCATTTGGGATGGATTATTTTGCACAATTTTTGACAGAAGTTAAATATTTGAGTTGTCTTATATTTCAAGACGATACAAATTTTGAAACGAATTTGCATAAATATTCATCTCTCACCGTGGCGCCACGATTATCTGCATAAAAAAAAAAAAAAACTGAAAGAGAAGAAATTTCTGAAGAGAAAATAAAAGTAAAAAGTGATGAAGAAAATAGCAGGAGGCAGGAGAAAAAAATAAGATGGAGGTTAAAACGGTAAAGACGATGGATCGAATTTTAAAGACGGCCGAGAAGAAAAATGAAATATTAAGTTTAGGATAAAATATGGAGAAGAAGATGGAGGCGATATTGAAGATGGTGGAGAACAGGATGGGAATATAAAATGGGAATAATTTGGAGAAAGATGATGAAGGATACGAAAATAAATAAGATGGAGGAAACTTTGAAGGACATGGAGGAGAAATGGAATGAGCATGAGGTGGAGGAGTAGACGATGAAGAAAAGGGATTTGACGATGAAGAAGATGGAGGAGAACGGGGTGGGGGGCATAAGTTGGAGTAGAAGACTGGAAGTATGGAAGAAGCTTTCAAGAAGATGGAGGAGAACTGGAATGAGCATGAGGTGGGGGAGAAGTGTAGGAAGAATGCCGGATAAGACGGAAAAGTATATGGAGGAGACGGAAGAAGATGGAGGAGAACTGGAGGGGGCATAATGTGGAGGATAAGACGACGGAGTCTGCGAATAAGGAGACTTCGAAGAAAGTTCTGGTGATGATGGATAAAGAAGGTTCGAAAGGATCAATTCAAAAAACGATCAAGAAGGAAAGTTGTGAAGTCGACAGAACAGAAGGCGAAAAAGTAAACGACGACGAGAAAGATGAGGCGACGACTATGAGGAAGACATTGAAAATGATGGAGGAGGAGGATTATATGAAAAAAAGGCGATTCCGAAACAAACGGTGATACACGGACGAAATTATTTTCAACGGGCTGTATAAAATAAATACGTTCAGTTTTTACTATAGGGGTTGGGTGGTTTTAATCAGGCTACGCGATATATAGATGTGATAACAGTAAAAATAATCTATCTATCTATCTATCTATCTATCTATCTATCTATCTATCTATCTCAGTCTGTTCATATCTATCTATATGTCTATCTATGACTGTTCATATCTATCTATCTATCTATCTATCTATCTATCTATCTATCTATCTATCTCAGTCTTTTCATATCTATCTATATGTCTATCTATGACTGTTCATATCTATCTATCTATCTATCTATCTATCTATCTATCTATCTATCTATCTATCTATCTATATGTTCATGATCTATCATTTATCTATATATCGATATACCTTAGCCTGTTCATATGTTTATCTATCTGTCTCAGACTTCATCTTCATCTATCTCAGTCCAGATCTATCTATCTATCTATCTATCTATCTATCTATCTATCTATCTATCTGTGCTGTGTGTGTGTGAGAGAGAGAGAGAAAGTAAGCGAGAACGAGAGAAAGACAGATAGATAGATAGATAGATAGATAGATAGATAGATAGATAGATAGATAGATAGATAGATATAGTTGGTGCGTACCTTGTATAGAGTACACGCTTTGGCCAATACGTATCAATCGCTCGTTTTTTTAAAGCTAAATAGCCGAATATTAAGATCATCAACTTCAGCCAACGCCCACCACTCGATATTTGTCGAAATGTCAGCAACATCGCAAAATTCAAGAATCCATACAATTTTATTTGGAAAAGAATTCATGAGAAAAACAGCTTCGATTTTAACCACAGAGTCTACTTTGAGAGGAGAACTCTGTAATAGATAGATAGATAGATAGATAGAACTTATCTGAGATAGATAGATAGATATGAACACGGTAAGATAGATAGATAGATAGATATGAAAAGAGTGAGATATGAAGAGAATAATATATATATATATATATATATATATATATATATATATATATATATATATATATATGATGAGACCGAGATGGATAGATAGATAGATGGATAGATAGATAGACAGATAGATGTGGAAAGACTTAGATATATATATATAGAGAGAGAGATAGATCGATAGATAGATAGATAGATAGATAGATAGATAGATAGATAGATAGATATGATGAGACTGAGATAGATAGATAGATAGATAGATAGAAAGATAGATAGATATGAAGCGACTAAGATAGATAGATGGGTAGATAGATCGACAGATAGATATGAAGAGACAGATAGATTTGAAGAGGCTGAGATAGATATGAAGATACTGAAATCATCTTCAGCCATCTCCCGACTCTTGACATTTTTGCAGATCATCGCAAGAATCAGGAACCCATATCATTTTATTTGGAACGAGATTTCAAGCAAACTTAAAGATGTATTTGCAAAGACAATCCTCCTTTTCTTCCGCTAATCTTTTTTTTTCCGATATGAGAGTAACGACTCCCCCAGATTCTCAACAAGGCCCTTTGCTGTTACATAAAACAACTGAAGTAGAACAAACTATTTAACCTTATGAATTAAACACGTCGAATGTAACCTCGTTTCGAAGTCGGAAACAACAAACCGCGTTTGTTATGTAGTTTTCAGGATGTGGAACATCGTTTAAACTGACTGGTCCACTCGTAAAAAATAATTAAGAATTATTTTTCTGAGGAATTTTGTACAGGATGCGATGGGTAAATTGTCGCCATTTTATATTTTGAATTCCACGCATGCGCGTTGTTACGTTTTGATTTTTCATCTACACAGCATAACAACAACAAAGATGAGGATATTAGTCTTGACTGCAAATAATAGAAATAATGATAATTCCTCATCCTAAAAAGCCGAAACGTGGTGATAATAACAACAAAGATAAGGATATTTGTCTGACTGTAAATAATGGAAATAATGATAATTGCTTATCCCTAAACCTGAAAGTTGTGAAATTGAATAATGTAAATACAGTGTAACCCGGATATAAGAGACCCGGATATAAGAGAATCCCGGATATAAGAGAGATTTTCTCTGGTCCCAAATTAGAGCCTGTGTTAATGTAAACAAAATAGACCAAACCCGGATATAAGAGAAACCCGGATATAAGAGACTTTTTCTCCGGTCCCGACAACTCTCTTATATCCGGGTTACACTGTAATAACTATACCTCCCAATTATGTCTTCTTCATACCGACATTATTCCGTATAAGTTTCTCATGATTGTTGAGAGATTGGTGGTTAAAAGAATTACATATTTCACTCAATTTCGTCTTAGCATAATTTTAAAAAAAAATTTTTTTCTCAACAACCTTCCGCATGTCATCCGTTTTCAGCTCGCTCTCTATACTAATGGCGCGACTATTTACTCTTGTTTTAATCATAGCACTGGCTACGTGGTGACTGAATGCAGGATCTTTAACCAGTAATATTCCTAGTAGCATTAGCATCTATCAAACCTAAATTTCTCTCCATGGTCCTGCTGCCTTCCATCAACATGACTGATGCTAACCTCCACGACAGTGACTCTTTTGCCTTCTCAGGCTAATGTTCCCAGTTGACATGAAGTGGAAAGACTATATTAAATCCATAGGTAGATCAGCTGTTAAGAATGCCGGTTTATTATGTCGTGCGAGACACTCCTTCTCTCTGGAAGCTACCTTATACATCAATGAGGCTACCATTCCTCCATGCTTAGAATATTGCTGCCAAAAATGGTCTTGTGACCCTGCTATTTACTTTGAGCTTTTTGACAAAATCCAATATTATTTGTCATTGACATTGCATTTAAATATTTGAAGATTAAAGTTGGTTGGAAAGCATGGAGCCGGAAGGGAGTTCCACAAGCAAGGCAATAAAGCCACTAAGACACAAGGGTTTACTGGGTGTAGAAGAATTAGGAACAGAAACATTAATAATGAGTGGGAAGAGGAAAGAGTAATCAGGAGGACAGTAGATAGCGATTGACATTACATTTAAATATTTGAAGATTAAAGTTGGCTGGAAAACATGGAGCCTGAAGGCAGTTCCACAAGCAAGGCAATAAAGCCACTTGGACACAAGGGGTTACTGGGTGTGAAAGAATTAGGAACAGAAACATTAATAATGAGCGGGAAGAGGAAATAGTAATCAGGAGGACAGTAGATAGCCATTGACATTGCATTTAAATATTTTGGAGATTAAAGTTGGTTGGGAAACAAGCCAAAAGGGAGTTTCTACAAGCAAGAAAAGAAACTGTTTGCATAGAACTTACGCTTACGTCGAGCCAACTCGACAGTAAATTAATGAGATCTCAGCGCCAGTTTAATATTGCGCTGGAATTAATAAACCTCAGGTACAATAGCGGAGACTTCATCCGAACAATTACTCTGAAAGTATAGAAAATACACCGAGTGAGGCACTTTGACGACAGTGGGCATGTGACTGAAGCAGAACCGACAAATCAGAACCAATAATATTCCTGATTATTCTTTGGATTTTAACCACGACCTCAAGGTAAATAGCAGGGGCCCCGGACTATATGTGGCAGCAATATTCTAAGAATAGACGAGTGGTAGACTTATAGATATGTAAGATTGATTCTGGAGTGAAAAATTGTCTTGCGCGACACAGTAAACAAACTTTCTTAGCAGCAGACTTAGCAATTGATTCAAGATAATCTTTCCATTTCATGTCTCCTGAGATCAAGTGCCCAAGAAAGTGTAATGATTAACTTGCATGGAACTTAGCATCAGCCATTCTGATGGAAATTAGCGAGGGGTCTCTTAGTTTATTAATGTTTGCCAGTGCAATGTTTACGAGAAATAAGAAAATGACAAAAATTATTAAGAATTACAAAGGACAGGAAATTGTGGAGAGCCATGATCACCAAGGGACATGGCACATAGAAGAAGAATGAGTTTGAGTAAATGGATGGCAGAACAGGGTTTATGAGAAATAACAGAAAGACTAAATTTATTAAGAACTACAAGGGGCAGGAAGTTGTGGAGAGCTATGATCACCAACGTGCTGAAGGATTTGTTTCCAGTAACATTGTCAAAAACAATACACTTGAGTAAATGGATGGTAGAACAGAGTTTAGGAGAAATAACAAAACGACAAAACTTATGAGCTACAAATGGCAGGAAATTGTGGAGAGCCATGATCACCAATGTTCTGAAGGGTCATGGAATATAGGAGAAGAAAGAGTTTGAGTAAATGGATGATGGAACAAGGTTTAGGAGAAATAACAAAAAGACAAAATTTATTAAGAGCTACAAAGGACAGGAAGTTGTGGAGAGCCATGATCACCAACGTTCTGAAGCGTCACGGCACATAGAAGAAATATATATATTGCTTTAATGAATTTATCGTGTGAAATTAGTAAATGTAAAAGACATTATAGGCTTTTTCATGAAAACGAAAAAGAACAATAGTAGTCAGTATCATAAAGAGTTAGTTGAAATGTCTGGGCCATAATGAGAAAAGAAGGCTTGGAAAATTTGACACTCGTAAGACATATCTATGGCAAAATGGACAGGCGTGAATAGTGAGCGTTTAACTTGTATAAACGGAAACTTGTACAATGTGTAGAAGGGATTGCAAAAAGTTAACCTCTGCTAGAAAAACACAAAGGATACGAAATCGTGGAGAGACATGATCGCTCCCATCTTGAAAGGACACATCAAAGAAAAAGAAATTGAATTTACACCCACTGGTAAATTAAATGAAACAACCTCTTTAGTTTCCTTTCCTTCACCATACGGTCAGTTATAGACCCACTGGAGTGACAGGGTGTAATCGATTTCTATTATTTCATTAGGTTAGGTCATTTGCAGTGGTGTGCAATATGTATCTATTTTCGGGGTGTATGATGAAATTTGTTTGGCCTTGAAAAATACTGCGTCATCCGTGATTGCATCAAATTCTTATCACGCCCAGACACTATTGTCTCGACTGTCGATTAGTTGTCCTACGGCCATTGTCTGCGATGGACATTACTCCAATAAAGCGTACGAAGATTGTAACGCTGCACCAAAGCACCTGCAAGCCTTACCACTGAGCAAATCAAAGTACTATAGACTGGCTCAGAAACTCTCCTGATTTAAATCCAATCGTGACTCTGTGGTCAATCTGCAAGGAACGACTTTGTGGAATGAACATACGAAGTACTAACGTGTGCACTTGGGCTTGTTTCATTGGGAAAATACGAAGAAAATTCAATAATAATAGAATTATTCGTTTTGTTTCAATTAATTTGCACAAGGGTTTAGATAGAAAATAAATAGGCTGAGATAGATAGATAGATAGATATGAACAGACTGAGATAGATAGATAGATAGATAGATAGATAGATAATGAATAGGCTGAGATAGATAGATAGATAGATAGATAGATAGATAGATAGATAGATAGATAAAAAGAGGCTGATATAGATAGATAGATATGAACAGACTGAGATAGATAGATAGATAGATATGAACAGACTGAGATAGATAGATAGATAGATAGATAGATAGATAATGAATAGGCTGAGATAGATAGATAGATAGATAGATAGATAGATAGATAGATAGATAGATAGATAAAAAGAGGCTGATATAGATAGATAGATATGAACAGACTGAGATAGATAGATAGATAGATAGATAGATAGATAGATAGATAGATAGATATGAACAGACTGAGATAGATAGATAGATAGATATGAACAGACTGAGATAGATAGATAGATAGATAGATAGATAGATAGATAGATAGATAGATAGATAGATAGATATGAACAGGCTGACATAGATAGACTGACCCGGAAACTCTCCTGATTTAAATCCAATCGAGAATCTGTGGTCAATCTGCAAGGAAGGACTTCGTGGAATGCACCTCGGAAGTACTAACACTTGGGCTGGTTTCATTGGGAAAATACGAAGAAAAGTCAATAATAACGGAATTATTCGTTTTGTTTCAATTAATTTGCACAAAGGTGTACGCATGAAATTACCTCCTGTAGAATATAAACGTGATAATGAGGAAGGTCATTGGATGGCCCCATGAAATGCAGATTCGGAAATAGAAAAACGAATATTCGTTTGTGAATTTCACCAGTTTTAAAAATTAATTCTCATTATTACTTGAAGCCAATGATATCAAATCGCCTCTGACATTTACGGATAATCCATTGTTTTGGGGTTTTTTTAAAATTATTTTTCTTGGAATTAATTTTTGTTTTGTTATTAATTCCTTAGCCGTTCCTTTTGGATTCTTTTCAATCGAATTTATTTTTGTGAACTTTAAAACACAATGTGCTTCCAGTCACAATTCACTGCACGTTCTGCGTTTTTTTTGTATTGTTTTACTTTTATCTT